AAATGTCAGCATAACACAACAAAAAGTCCTCCTCTTCTCCTGATTATCTGAAAAATCAAAGATTCCCAAATGGTATTTTTTTGCACATATGTTGTTAGTTCTTCATAGGTAGAGAGCACATCCGTTTGGTTATTTTCATATTGTTATTCTAGCATCTTCTACACCAGGAATTTTCAGCTGGGGATGACTTTGTTCTCCAGGTGACATGTGGCAAAGACCAGAGGCATTTTTGACTGTCAGGACTGGGGAGGAGATGCTATCGAGTGGGAAGATGTCACGGTTGCCGCTAAACATCCCGCAATGGACAGGACACCCCTCCAAAGGGAAGAATTATCCAGCCTAACATGCCAATAATGCTGAGGTTGAAAAACCCTGCTCTACATATATTTTACCTAACAAGACCTACTTGAACATGATTGGGGGAAGGAGCACTAGCCAAGTGGCCTCTGAAAACCCCAATGCTTTGGTTATGAACCATAAGTGATAAAGCCATGGCTCCAAAGCTGCCCCTATATTTATATGCTTTACTGCACAAACACATAAACTCAGAAAGCTGAAAGAGAGCTCAGAGCTCTCCTAAGTCAACTTCCCTATTTCATTAAGAACCCAAGGTTCAGCATAAGGGACTTGCCTAGGTTCATGCAGCTACATGTGGCACACCAGCAGCAGAACCAGGGCAAGAATCTAGACCTCCTGATGGCACAGTCCGTGGTGACCCTTTCCACTGTATGGTAAATGGTATATTATGGTAAATTCTGCAATCATGGATCAAAAAATCAGTACGCAAGACTGTCACTGTCTGTAAGATAATATAAAAACTCATACTTAGTATGCTGGAGTATTTTTTTCCAACGTAAGATTTATCTCCAGGGTGCCTGGGTGGCTCAGTCAGTTAAGCATCCGACTTCACCTCAGGTCATGAACTCGTGGATTGTGGGTTTGAGCCCTGTGTCGGGCTCTGTGCTGATAGCTCTGAGCCTGAAGCCTGCTTCAGATTCTGGGTCTCCCTCTTTCTCTGCACCCTCCCCTGCTTGCACTCTGCCTCTCTCTCTGTCAAAAATAAATAAACTTAAAAAAAAAAAAACCCAACAAAAACAAAACAAAAAGATTTATTTCCTATACCATAAATTTCACACACTTAAAGTACAACTGACTCTCAAACAACACAGGGATTAGGAGCACCAACCACTCCACCCTGCACAAAAATCCACGTATGACTTTTAACCACCCCCCCCCCCAGACGTAACTACTAGTAGCCTACTAAGGAGCCTTAGCGATAACATGAACAGTTGATTAACACATATTTTGAATGTTATCTGTAGTATATACTGCATTCTTACCATGACATTAGCCAGAGAGAAGGAAATGTTATTAAGAAAATCATCAGGAAGAGAAAACCCATTTGTAGCACTGTACCGTATTTATTGAAAAATATCTGCGTGAAAGTGGACCCGTGCAGTTCAAACCCATGTTGTTCGAAGGGTCAACTAAAAGGTTCAGTGGCTTTCAGTATATTCACAGAACTGTGCAACCACTGCCACAATCTAACTTTAAAACATTTTCAACACCCCCAAAAGAAACTCCAGACCCCTCCATTAGCAGTCGCTCGACATTCTCCTTTTCCCCAACCTCCCCGCCAGCAGCAGGCAACCACTAATCTACTTGATCACCATAGATTTGCCTCGCCTGGACGTCGCATATAAATGGGAATCGTACAGTACATCACCTTTGTGTCTGGCTTCACTCAGCATAATGTTTTCAAGGTTCACCCATGTCATAGTATACATCAGGACCTCATTCATTTATTTTTTTTATTGCCATGTAACATTCCATTCCCGTACAGATAGAACACATTTTGTTTACCTGTTTATCAGTTGCTGGATACTCGGGTTGTTTCCAGTTTGCTATTATGAATAATGCTGCTCTGAACGTTCATGGACAGGTTTTTATGCGAACATGTTTCCATTTCTCTTGGGTATATACTTAGCAGTGGAGCTGTAGGGTCACTATGTCAGAATCTTAAAAAAAAAATTTTTTTTTAACATTTATTTATTTTTGAGAGAGAGAGGGAGAATGTGGGTGAGTGGGAGAGGGCTAGAAAGAGGGAAACAGGATCTGAAGCAGGTTCTGCACAGTGAGCACAGAGCCCAATGTGGGCCTCGAACTCATGAACTGTGAGATCATGACCTGAGCCAAAATCAAGAGTCGGGTATTTAACCGATTGAGCCACCCAGGTGCCCCAGAAATTGTTTAATATCTGAGAATTGAACAGCTTTTGGAAGAGTATTATTTGAAACGTTAAAAAAAAAATCTCTTAAATGTAGGTAGGAGAGTAAGAAAGTAAATAACACATAGTTTATAAAGCAACAGTTGCACATTCTCTAATGCGTGTCTCTAAATGGACCAGGAAATTTGAATTGTCAAAAACCCACTATTCAGTGGGATATTTACTTATATCATCTACCAAAATTCCTTAGAAGGAAGGCTGCTAAATGTTGAATGAATAATTCTTTTCTCAGGGCCAGTTCCTTCAGACTGAAAAGGCAACAATTATCCAGACAGAAGAGGAAAACAAATATGCCAGACCATAGTATGAACAAAGATTAGTTATGTCCTCTGACTCAGAAAGTAGAAACGCAGTGAGCAGCCTGACGTCGTACATTGAGAAGCTGTCATTTTCATTTTGATGCCACAGATGGCAGAGGAGCAATAATTATTCTGCCATTTCACTACTAGATTTGCCTCATATTGTACAGATTGTTTTCTCCTCTGGTTCATCCTCCAAAATATGTACTTGCCTAAAAACTGATGATTATAGAATATAGATACTCAGAAAAGGGCCTGCGGCTGCCAAGAGATAAAATCATTTCCAAAGTGGAATGCAGAAGCCAATTCAGAACCTGGGCTTTCCTTCCATGAACATGTGAGAGGGGTTGGAAGAGGTGGCTATGATGCAACTGATGAGCAGCCTCTGACCAGGTTCATGGTCACATGGACACATATTGCTCAATCTGAGGCAAATTCCAAAAGGACTCTTCTTTTATGATATCCGACAGTCAGTGTGCTGGCTTAGGACTCCATGTGTTGGTACATGCTATTTTCACTACCTACAAAGCCCTTCCTGGTCCCCACCTGACAAACTTCTACTCCCGTCTGTCCCCTGCCAACTATCTTTCAAAAATCTCGTCCCCTGCGAAGGTTCCTCTCAAGCTCTCTAAATCTCAGTGCTCCTGGGAACTGAGAACACACCGTCACAGGGCTTTGTTTCCAGGTATTACGACCATGAGCTATGCTCCCTCTGGAGTGTGACATTATCTAGAGGGCAGTTTCTGTTAGTATCTGTAATCCACAACAGCGCCTGGCCCATTTCAGTAAGTGCTTCCAACTCTTTATGGTTAAATGACAGGGGGGAGGGGCGCCTGGGTGGCGCAGTCGGTTGAGCCTCCGACTTCAGTCAGGTCAGGATCTCGCGGTCCGTGAGTTCGAGCCCCGCGCCAGGCTCTGGGCTGATGGCTCGGAGCCTGGAGCCTGTTTCCGATTCTGTGTCTCCCTCTCTCTCTGCCCCTCCCTCGTTCATGCTCTGTCTCTCTCTGTCCCAAAAAATAAATAAAAACGTTAAAAAAAAAAATTAAAAAAAAAATGACACGGGGGAATCTATGTTTAAATTGTCTTCAACAACACAATGGATAAGAAATGCCTGAAACTAACAGAATGAACTTAAATTAAATGTAAACAAAGGCCCCCTTAAGCCTATACAGTACCCAAGAAAGCCTTCCCTATGCAAAAAACCTGGGTTATCCCCCATTTGGCGACTAGAACAGCCAGGTATGAAATGTGGTCTCAAGCACAAGCCACCTTTCTACCATCAGTTCTGGGACCAAGCTACCTGATAAATACAAGATGTCCCACAACTCTCATTTCTCCCCCACATCTTTTCAAAGATATTCTGCATTGAAATACCTTTGCACATTCTTGTTTCCATGGAAGCTCTAGGAGAAGACCGATTTGCCTTGGGGGAGTCATCACTCGTTAGATAAGATCACCCTTGTGAATTTCCCCAAACCTTTAGGGACTAACAAAAATCAGAAGCTATATGACTCCATCTGGCAGGCACTATACACGATTAACCAACAGACAATACAATCTTACCTAGCTGAGAAATGAACATTTAGTTTCGATTCAGAAACTGACAAAAACAAACAAACAAACAAACAAACAAACAAACAAACAAACCAACCAACCCTTAGACTTCAGGACAATTGGCAGAAAAAGAAAACTAAGTGAGAACACTGCCCCCAAGTGTCATTCACTATTGCCTGGAGTAAGCCTCTTGCATTACAATTTCGAGCCACGCAAACTAGAATTTACTTCATGGCAAAACATAGAATGCCAGAAATAGTACATGAAGGTCACTTTTCTTCAGAAGTCTTTTCCAGGTGCTCTACGGTATCCTGGGAAGTTTGGCTGTTAGTATTTTCCCCATATTCAAGAAATTCATTCTTTTCACTGCTATTTTTTTAAGTGCCATACCACTTTTCTCATCCTTTTCCAACTTTTTTTAATGTTTATTCATTTTTGCAAGACAGAGAGAGACAGCACAAGCAGGGGTGGGGCGGGGGGGGGGGGGACACAGAATCTGAAGCAGGCTCCAGGCTCTGAGCTGTCAGCACAGAGCCCGACGTGGGGCTTGAACTCATGAACCATGAGATCATGACCTGAGCCGAAGTCAGATGCTCAACCAACTGAGCCACCCAGGCGCCCCTCCTTTACCAACTTCTATTCTCTGCTTCCTAAATGATTTTCCCTCACTTTTCCTCCTGAAGAACCCATCTGTTCTTACAAGGCTCTTCTTAACTCCCATTACTTTCTTCATAGGTCTAAATACATCAAAATAAGTTAAGTTATTTTGTGTTATTAATAAATATTCTGTATTTAGGAATAGGAAAAACTGGAGTGGGAATAGACTTATAGTCATAATAAATGATAAAAGTGTCACAGTGTCAGATTCATCTTGTGATCATGCTGTATTTATGATCAATGGTACAGTGTTCTGAATGGACCATTCAGATGACCACAATCTAGATCACCTGTGTCATGGACTGGCTACTAGCATGAACATGATTAGTCTTTTTTTATATTCACAGTCTAACTGCCGACATATATAAGATCCCTGACAGCCAATTTAAAGCCTGTCTTTTAGAAGGCTTAGTCCTGCAGTCACTTCATTCTGAAACTGTAGTTCTGAAACAGACGTGCTAAAGCAGATTGATAAAGAGCTACCTTTACTGCAAGACCACATTTGAATAGATAGATGCTGCAGCTACAGGTCATTTCTCACTACAAGCTGTAAGCAATTTCTGTACTGGGTACATTGAAGATCAAGTCCTCCTGTAGGCAGCCTGGCTGAGTGAGCCATTCTTTTATAGGTAAATCAAGGTTGAGTGAATACCAAGGGCTGCATTTAAAACAGGGATAACAGCCAATAAGTACCTGTGTTTCCATTTCCCTCTCCAATCCTACCCCATATCCATAGCAAAGGTTGCCCAAGAGTCCTGGCATTTTTTTTTTCCTCCTAAGCCTCTACAAAAGCATCATATTCCTTTTAATACTTCCTCAGACAGCTACTGTCAATTAACTGGATTTACTTAATCATCACTCATTTAAGAGGACATAATATATAAATATTTTGTGTAAAGTTTTTTTAAAAGTACTGCCTCCTTTAATACAGCCATTTGTTAGGGAGGCAGACAGCGAGGTCCTCTCTACCCTCAAAGTGCACAGGTTATGCTAGATAAAATTATGCTAGATAAAAGTTTGTTTTAGCCTTGCAGCCTTCTCCCGGAACTGCCAATTAATTGTAGCTATGATGAAGATGATGATGATGATGATGTTTGGAGATGACCAATTCCATGGACATGTATTAGGGTCAGGAGCAGGAATGGCTTTATTTCTAAGAGGAACATCCACAACTTGTAAGGATCCAAGGAGTCAATGCATCCTAAGAAGAAAGCCTAGAAATAGAAAAGCATTTTTAGCTCAGTACAGTGCCATGCAAAATTAGTTCCAGAAATGGGTCAAAAAGAAACCAAGTACATCTGCAAATGTATTACTTTTACCATTCTAGGATAAGAGAGCTTTTCATTTGAACTTCTGTTTCAGTCACAGGAAAATGGAGGGAAGGCAAGACTGTCAGGCAACAGATCTCTGGAATATTCTATGGAACCTTCTTTCTGTTACAAAATACTGGTTTTCAGCAATAAACTCACATTCCAAAATAGCTCTCTAACAGAAACAGATTTCATACATATGAATTATAATTCATAAGTAGTTTCAGATATCAAACCTAACATCAAAGCAATCCTAATTCGTATAAACTTTCTAACATTATTAGAGGAAGGCCAAAATACCATGGTAAACATTCATCAGTCAACATTTACAGGCCCCTCCCACCTGCACCAGACCGTCAGGCCCCAGGGATGGTAGTGCCCAGACCACCCAGTCCCTGCCCTCAGGGAGCTCAGCAACAGTAATGAAAATTGGCAGACCTCTGCCTTCTGTGTGCTACAGAATATATCAAATTGGCAATGTTTCAAACTTTAGAGAAGGAAATTAAAACGTATCCACCCCCATTTTGTAGATGGGATAGCTAAGACTGAGCATGTTAAATGATTTTCCCTGAGCACAGTAGGTCCCACCAAACTCCAAACTCTCACACGTCAGTCACTTTGTATTTTCAGTGTCCTCTGCACAGTCTCTTATCTTCAGCTTTGTTCCAGTACCAGAGTATTTCAACTATATGGGTATTGGCTTTATTCTGTAAGCTGAACTATTTCAATGGATAAGACTAAAAAGAGGCCTTACAGTATTTTCTAACAGACCCTGGCTCAAGTAAGAACTTTTATTTCCAAGGAAACAAGAGTACCTCTGTAGGAAATCATTTTTCTCAGATAAAAATATTGGTACTATACTCATGTTCACAGCAGCATTACTCGCAATAGTCAAAAGGTGAAAGCAATCCAATATCCACTAACAGAAGAATGGATAAACAAAATGTGTTATATACATACAGTGAAATATTATTTAGCCTTTAAGAGGAAGGAAATTCTAACACATGCTACACCATGGATGAATCTTGAGGATATTATGCTAAGTGAAATAAACCAGTCACAAAAAGACAAATACAACATGATTCCACTTATATGAGGTATCTAGAGTAGTTAAATTCATACAGATAAAAAGTAGAATGGTGGTTGCCAGGGGCTGGGGGAAGGAGGAAATGGGCAGTTGGTTAATGATACAGAGTTTCAGTTCTGCAAGATGAAAAAGTTCTGGAGATTGGTTGCTCAACAATGTAAATATACTTAATAGTACTAAACTATATACTTGAAAATGGATAAGATAGTAAATATTATGTGTACTCTACCACAATTAAAAAAACCAAAAAAAATACTGGCACTTACCTCATTATGGTAAAGTTTTAATTTTTTAAAAATTTCCTTTATGGCTTCTGTAATTGATAGGAACAGGATCTCTTGGCACTATTAGGGGAAATCAAAGAATTTTCTGTGATGTTTTTGTCAGTCATCAGGAGATTTTTAAAACTGCTTTTAATGCCATTGTCTATAGGCTTCAAATTATTTTTAGAAATTAAAATTAGGTGTTCTGTGTTTTAAAAGTTACATTTAGGGGCATTCACTTTTGAATGTACCTTCTCTGTAAAGAGAGCTTTCCTACTATTCTTACTTTCGAATCTTATATTCTAATAAACTTTTGTCTGCTGCTCAATAAATAAATAAATAAATAAATAAATAAATAAATAAATAAATAAATATTTAGGCAGTGAGATAGAGAATGTCTTCCTGTGAGGTTGCAGCTAACGCTGCTGTATTTTTGTCTTCATCTTTGGGATGTATGCAGAGGCAGAAAAAAAAAAATCACATCATCCTATCTAATGGGTTTGTACAACTGAAACCTATATGCCATATATATGTGCCATGGAGCAAAACCATGGAATACAATTTGCACTTATGCTCGATTTCTAGATTTTTAAGAATCTGTAGTTTTATACACCATCACAGTTTCTTTTTTCACTCGAGGTTCACAGGGCATTCAATTTGAAGCATCTAAAAAAGCATGGGGTCTAAATTGGGCTGCAGATAAATGTCAGGGTTGATCACTAAGGAATGACGGATGGCATCCTTCCTATTCCTTAGTGACAACTGTCTGAAAGGAGCTGGAACCCTGACTGGAGATAAGCGTCTGCCCCTTTATTCTCTCTGCTTTCATTTCTCACAGTCCTCAATCACATGTCTGAGAAGCTGGGGGCTTTCTCTGTTGCTTAGTGCAATGCAATTAATTAGTGGAAGAAGATCTAAACAAATGTTCAAAAGTGCAGGATAGGAATCTACTTATTAGTTTTAAATGTTCATTACTATATCTATTTTATAACCTTAAAAACCCATTTAATCTTTTAAGACATGAAGGCATTAAGAATTATGGTTGGAGTCTTTCAAAATCCTGCCTCTGTAACGACCACCTGAATTGAGCTGAAGAATCATTTTTTGGTTTTCTGAAATAATGTTCCTTCATGATACAAGTTATTGAAGGGACAATAGGATGGCTGGGACAAAAGGTTGGATACATACCAAAAGACTCTCTGAGTGACAGTTGTGTCCCTTTGCTACACCAAGGGCATACCTTGTACACATATTAAACATCAGACAATTCTAAAATCCTAGACTGATTTGCCTGTCACCCTCTCTCCTCACATCAGCTTCTTCTTCCCAAAAAATTCTTCTGGGGAAAGAACTTTTGACTTAATTGGCTTTTTAACTGTTTCCCTCCAACCGTCTTGTGTCCAGTACAGAGCCTAGCAGATAGCAGACAATAAATGCTGAATGAAAGAAACTAACTTTAACTTTGATAGGACAATATATATTGGTCAACATATATAGAAGAAATATTTCAAGTGACAAAAGAACTGAGACACAAACATTTCCCACTCCTAGAACTTTTCCTGATTTAACTAGTGTCCAGTTTGTATTTCCAACAAAATGACTTTAGTATTGAAGTTGGTAATCATGCCATCCAAGACTGAAAGATGTGAAGTAGGACTGTCACTTTTTGAAGGGAGAAGGCCCTCATGGGAATATCTGTATCCTTCCGGGTGGGGAATGGGGCAACTGGGGAGTCCCAGGAAACCATTGTAACTGAAATCAAACTTCAATTTCTCCAACTTGTATTTGAAAGGGATAATGAAGATTTCTCCATACACCAGCTGAGAAATTTCTTATTTGTAGCAATATAGGATAAAATGCAGAATTTATTTTCAAAGGCAGAATACAAAAACACAGGTTCAAATTGCATCTGACCTTGATGAATTAAGAGAACACTGGAAATCAGTTACTGAAAGCTGGTTATTTGCATACATCCCCCCCCCCCACTTGATCATATTGAAATAAAGCCGTTTGGAGAAAAACCCAATTACCATGGAAATACTTATCTTTAGCCTAGTTTGCACCCACTTAATGTTTCCCCAGCAGTGCAGCAGAGTAAAATTCAAAGTCTATGGCTAATATAAAAGCTTCCTAAAAAATATATGTAAATTCTACTGATTAAGAATATTTCTATGTTTAAGTTAAAATAATGAAATATATGTCCAAAAAGGCAAAGAGAAAATACTCTTTCCAGAACTTAATTTCTGGAACCTAGATGTTTTACACAGCAATTTTAATTAACATGAACACTGAATAAAATTATATTTTCAAAAATTAAGCCAACGAATCCCTATCTCACTCACGCACAAAGTTCCAAGAACCAGAGCAAAACATGCATGTATCCTTACTGCAAAAATTTTTTTTACCACAAAAGCATTTTGCTATTTCCTTACCTCGAGCGCAGACGATTGCAGTGTGGACAGCAGATTTACTTGCTTGCAGCCTGGTTCTCATAGAACGGAAGGGGCCTCTCGCTTGCTCATTTTTTGTTTTTGTTTTTTTCTAAACCCAGCAGCGTGCATCCACCCAGCCTCATTCGCTGGATTGATAACCTGGAAAAAACACCGTCCGCAAAGTGAGCGCCTGAAGCAGGGGACAGTCCCCGGGTGGCCGCCCCTCCCTTTCGGTGACGCTTCACTTCCTGTTAGACTAAAAGGCAGTTCCCAAGAAGCTCGGTTTTGTAGTTTCTAGCCCACTTCCAAAAGCCAGCCCTCCTTTCTCGCATTTCTTCCCCAAGGTAACAACTTTTAATCATTCACGTGATGGACCACCTGACCTCACCCAACCAAACAATTTTCCGGAAAGGCGCCCGCAGGAAGGTTCCAACCACTGTGGGTGACTGGGGCAGGCCCGAGGGCTCGTCTTCCTGCGCCCCGCGATCCGTCGCATCCCACCGACCGGCCAGCTCCTCCAGCATTTCCCTCAAATGCGCAGGGCGGCTCTGACAAGAATTACAGCCGCGGCTGCGGCCCTCAGGATGACCTGGAAGTGAAGAGGGACCTGCACGAACTCGAATTTCGGGTGGTTCGCGGGCTGAGATTGTCCGGGAAGCAATGCCTTACCCAAACCTCAATTCCAACACGGTCTCCTAGGAGTTTCCTTTAAAGGGAGTCTTCTGATACATTTAACATTCTTTAGAAAGACACTTATTGATTGCTTCCTACTTGGCAGTATGGAAGGCCAGGCGCTGTTTTGGGGGACCGGATTACTAGGATTTGGGTGCCCCAGAGTTCACCCAGTAACACCATCACGCTTCCTGCGGGCTGGCAGCAACGCGTTCTGGGTTTTAAAGCACTGCTACCTAAAGCACCGGGACTTAGTTAAGAGGGGGCAATGGTGAAAGGGCAGGCGCTGGACACCAGCGCATCCGGGAACATCAGTGGTAGGCGGTCGGGGTGGGCGAGAGCAGGCTCAACCAACCAGCCATCCCAGTCTGCGGGTCGCCACCTCAGGATTTTTTCGTTCCATCCCAGGCCAGCGCCTTAACTACCTACTAGTTGCCACCTTTTTCCGCCCCTACAGCGCCCCCGCCGTAAGCTCCGCCCCTCACCGCGCAGGTCCCGCCCCCCAGCCCCGCCTCCCCCCTTCGCGTCCCAGGACTCGTTGCGCGGCCCGGGCCGGAAGTCGGCGAGTTCCCGGGTGTGTGTCTGTGTCTGTCTGTGTCTCGAAGCGGCACGCGGCCCGGGACAAACGCTGGGGAATCCCACCTGAGGCGTCGCCGCTGTCACTACCATCACCCACGGAGCCACTACTAGAGGGGAGTAGACCCGGCCCTTCGCCGGGCAGAGAAGATGTTACCCCTGTCCATCAAGGACGATGAATACAAACCACCCAAGTTCAATCTGTTCGGCAAGATTTCGGGCTGGTTTAGGTGCGGGGTGCTGTTTTTGCGGGAAGGGGGTATCCGGACGTAGGGGAGAAGGCCCAGACCTAAGGATGGCCCGAGATCCAGGGAGGGAGCATCAGGGACACCTTCCTTCGCTGTGAGGAAAGGAGCGTTTGGGCTGGGAGGGTCTTTAAACCGGGACCCAGCCTCCGGGTCCTGGCACCCCTTTGACTCTCCCGCCTCTTCTCCACTTTTATCACTCCCAGGTCTATCCTGTCGGACAAGACGTCCCGGAACCTGTTTTTCTTCCTGTGCCTGAACCTTTCTTTCGCTTTTGTTGAACTACTCTACGGCATCTGGAGCAACTGGTAACCAAAGGGAAAAGGGTTTGGGCGGAAGCAGGGGGTGGGGGAAACGAAGCACTGTTTGCTTAATGCCACGTAGCTCCTCACCAGGAGGTTCAGGTCTTTGCTGTTCAGCTCTGCTGCTGAGTTGCTTTCTCATATCCACAGCAATCTGGCAAGGCTACGTTTAAGATCCGGGGCCCATCACGTGCAGCAGTTATTAAGATTTGGGTCCCCGCCCCCATCCCCCTCCCGCCCCCCGCCCCGTCAAGTAAGAGTGACCAGTCTCTTCATTTTGACCGATGGAAAGAGTCATCCTTAACTACAATCCTTAGCTTTGCCCACTTTCTTGGAATTAGAAGAAACCTGTTTCCTGCCTCTTTGGGGTGGGAGTGTTCCTTGCTTCTTTCTGGGGGAGTGGCATCTGGATTTCACCCTTAAGATCTGAGAGGGAATATCTTAGATGTTCAACCTAATTTATTATTAAGAGCTTTATAAAGAAGCTATCCAAAGAAATATGTGTCATTCTCTTCTCTCATTTTATGCTGCAACTGTCTCATGATTTTCCTCTGGTCTTGATTGCAGTAGAAAATCCGGTACAGTTTTCTAAAAACTTACAGCCCCTGAATTGATGGGTTTTTGTGCCATCTTTGGGCTTTTTTTGTTTTTGAACCTACTTTGGGAAGAGGTAAATCCAGGAACTCTGGAATTGAAATATTATTATTTCCAGGTATTTACTGTTGAATAACTTAAGGTCTTGTAAAATTGTGCAGCTAACAATAAGATCGTTACATTTCTAAGTGTGCAGATTCCTCTTTAAATCTCATACTCATTTGAGAATCTGATAAAAGCCAACCCTCAAAATTTTATGTAAAACTTCAGGAGTGATATGGAGTTCCTTGAAATAGATTTTGAACCCTAGATTAAGAACCTATGCTCTTTATGCTTTATTTTCTGTTACTTAGAGTTAGTCTCTGTCCTCTGTAGTCCATTTTTAGAGAGAATTGCTGTCCTTGATCTTTATCGAGATTGAACAATGACGTTAAATAAGATCACCATTTTTTGTGACATTTACATTTTTATATGAAAAAGTGGACTTCAGTTCAGATGTCAACTCAATTTTATAAAAAATACTCAGCACATTATGAAGGTTATTGATTTAGTCACTACTTGAAAAGGAATATTGAGACATAGTAAAATCTTAGTGTATGTACTAACCATTTTGAACCCTCTGAGAAGCAGATATACGTATCCTGTAATATTAATATTCTTCAATGTATTATGCATGTTAAAAACACTATGTTATAGTATAATAATCATGCTTTATTGTAAATATACAGTGTTTATAATATATTTTGCTCTTCTTAAATTATGCCATATTGTGGCATGTGTACTGATTGTATTCAGGCTATAACTTGGTTTATATATGTACACTTTACATTACAATACATTATCTTTCACTGTGGCCTTTTATGGCATAAATTACTATGTGAAATGTCTTGTTCAGGGGAATTATATTTGAAGTGCCCACATCACTTCTTTCGTGGAAAGTTAGGTATAAAGTAAATTTTTTGATCTGTGGAGATCTATTGAAGAAATTACAGTTGACCCTTGAACAACATGGGGATTAGGGAAATGAACCCTGTACAGTCAAAAATCTGTGTATAACTTTTGACTCCCCAAAAACTTAACTTCAAATAGCCTGCTGTCCACCATAATCCTTAGCGATAGCATAAAGTTGATTAACATGTACTTTATATATTATGTGTATTATGTACTGTATTCTTACAATAAAGTAAGCTAGAGAAAAGAAAATGTTATTAAGAAAATCATAAGGAAGATAAAATACATTTCTGGTACTGTACCAAATTGAAAAATAACTGCATATAAGTGAACAAGCCTGCATTGTTCAATCACTGTACTAAAACCATTGTTTTCCAAGCTGTTTGCCATTAGTCACCAGTACCGAAGGAAAACGTCAGTGGTACATGACTTTTTCTTCTGCCCTTTGGTGGCTTGTTTTTCTAACCTTAGGATCTTTTTTCCTACAATTTACTCTCTTTGTGTTATTATATCTTCCACATTTGAAATCTAGCTCTGAGCTAGTGTCTGTCTTACCTAAATCATTTAGTAGGTATTCATCATTATACTAACATCCATGTCCACACCACTTACCGATATTAATTTTTATCAGTGAGTGGGAAGTACAAATACATTGCTATTGAAGCCTTGACAGGTTTAAAAATTGCTTGGGCCTTTTTATAATCTGGATTTCGGTGTCTTATTTAGATATCGCAGTTTTCAGTCCCTTTTGTTGACTGGTCAACAATTTCCTTATATAATTGGATTATCTTTGTTCCTGAAGTTTCAATTAGATTTTAAGTTTCTTGAATAAATGTCTCACCAAAATTTATTTTGTTTGTCATAGTCATTTCTGTGTTCATTTTCATTCTATAAAAATTAAGTTTCAAGATGTTATGAACATGAAATGTCAAGAATTTTTTTTCCATTATAGAATTAAAAGGTGAATAAAACATGCTGTCTTCACAAATAAAGGTTAATAGAAACAGTTGTTGATCTAGTTGCAAAAAATAAATAGTTCTGCTTCTTGTTTAGAGCCTTCATTATTTAAAGGAAGGACTTGGTTCATATTTTTGATGGTGAGAATGTGTCATCCGTGGAAGAATAGCTAAGTTCTTTGTGTATTTTTCCACCTTTAAATATCCACTGACTTTTACTTTTCTGCTATAATGTAAGCTTCCTTAAAGTAGAGATCTTTTCTATCTTATTCAGGCACCTTAGTACATGGCACATAGTATGGCTAATGTATATTTGCTGAATGAAGGAATGAAGGATTAATGAATGTATGGAATTAATCTACCGACACTAAGTGTACTAACTGCCCTACTAGAGAGGAGGAAAACCTTACAACTCCTCTTTTCTCTTATTCTTTGAAGTTAAGAAAATGATGGGGATACCATATGTGATCTTTCCTTTTAAGATTCTTTTCTTTCTATCATTTTATTTTCTTTTGGTATTATTGTTGAGTAACTACTTCATCTCGAGTTAATATAGTATAAGTATGTGGTTTTGTACCATCTAGGATTAAGTGCTTTTTCAAGTTACAGAAAAATCCCCAAATAATGATTTCTTACATATCACAAAACTTTTATTTTTACGATGGCTGTCATTCCAACTATCCCTAGCAGCAGATTGTCCAAGACAGAGAGAAAAAGAGGTAAAAAGTGTATATAGTGTCTTTTAAGGAGATTTATCTGGACACACATAGAACACTTACAGTTCAGTGCTAAGCCTTTATCTTATTGGTCATGCCTACTTGCAAATTCATCTTTGTTCCAGTCAAACAGGTATTCTGCTGAAAGTTAAGGATTCTTTACCAAAAAAAGAAAGGAAATATATGGATACTGTAGGCTCAGGAAGTGAGACTAGAAAGAGATAAGCTAGTCTGACTTCTATAGATAGAAAACTGAGGCCCAGGTTTTGGTTTTTTTTTTTTTCCCCCAGAGTAGCAGTAAAGCCTAGAAGCACCTGTCGTCCAGGGATTTTTTTTTTTCTACTATACCGTGATTTTTTTCCTAGTATTCCACTATAGTTTCCTTTGTTCTTATGCTCTTTTAACTGTACTTAGCTGTTTGTTAGAAAACTTCAGTAATATTTTTTACCAAAGCTGTTGGAACAATTTTCCCCTTAGACATAGAGGGAACTCATATAACTCTAAAGGTAAATGTTTTTGTATTACCAAAGTAAATATTTGTTCAGGAAATGTGTGAGGCCATACTGGACATTGATTTGTTCCTACTTCTGTATAATATGTCATATATTTGTAAAGTAACTCGGTAAAGAAAATGCTTCTATTAATCGCATTTTTCTATAGAATTAAAACATAGTTATCTTTGTCTTTTATCAACTTTTCCGTTCTTAAAAGACAGTGTTTACCACTTTATGGTGATGACTTCTGCTTTCCTGTAGTTTTGTTATTCACCTTAAAAATGCAGGCAAATATTCCACTTTGCTGAAATTCAAAAAAATTTTTTTTTATGTTTATTATTTATTTTTGAAATAGAGACAGAACATGAGCAGGGGAGGGGCAGAGTGAGGAGACAGAATCCAAAGCAGGCTCCAGGCTCTGAGCTGTCAGCACAGAGCCTTATGTGGGGCTCAAACTCACGAGCTGTGAGATCATGACCAAGCCGGAGTCGGATGCTTAACTGACTAAGCTACCCAGCGCCCCTTTGCTAAGAATATTTTAAAGTAAGGGATTATATAATGGAATGTAGTAGAGTTGTGGGTTTTTTACCATAACTGTCATTAGTTTAACAACTTATGCAAATGACAGGATTCTAATTTCTTCCTAATAAATTGGTAGTTAAGTTTTTATACTTTCCATCTCATGGAAACTTACCATGATTATTCCCTGTCTTCAGTTTTGAATTAATCTTTAACAACACACTATACATATACTGTTAGCTTAGTTACCAGATCTTTTTAAAATTTTTTATTTTGGAAAATTTTAAGCATAAGGAAAAGAGAGTTTAATGGACCTCATGTTCCCATCATTTATCAACATGTAGTCTATTTCATTTCCTCTGTGTTATCTGTCTCACCACTGGATTATTTTAACACAGATACCAAATATAATTTCCTTCCTAACTACTTCAGTATGAGTCTCTAATAAGAAAAGGCCCCCCCACCCCATAATACTACCCAGTGCCATTCTCATCTTTAAAAATTAGGAATTTATTAATATCAAATGTCCAGTTAGGGTTCAGATTATCCTTATTGTCTCAGAAATTGTTTCTACAGTTAGTTTTGTAAGTCAGAATCCAAATAAGATCTAATCCAAACAAAATCATACTTGGATCCAAACTCCTATCCAAGCATATTTGGTTGATATGTCTCTGAAATCTCAATTTATGGGCTCTCTTTCTCCCTTTTGTTTGTTTTTGCCCCAATGACCTTAAATAAAATCTTTTTTGAGAATTTCTTTTGCTAAATGTTTTATT